TTAATAAACTAGGAGGTCAAAAACTTACCTAAATCTAAAAAGATAAATATAGATAATTAAATTAGGAATAATTGAGGAATTTGTATTGACTTAGATTGTAGTTTCACAATTTAGTTAGAGAATAAAGTTTAATGAAAGCTAAATTTAACTCTAATAAATACATTCTAATATATTAGAAGGTAATTAAAATATTTTAGAAACAGTTGTCACTGTAAATGAAGAAAAATAAGTAACTAAATTAGAATAAGTCATCCCAATAGCTAAATCCTAATCCCTGATATTTGTTTGATTAGTTGGTTAATATTTTTTTTTCTATTGCTCTTGTGTTCCTTATTTAATTTAATAACTCTCTCAAATCACTTACTTTTGTTAAGTAACAAAGATCAGTGTACCTAATAGATTGTGTATTGTTTAAAAATTGACAAATTTTAAAGACAGACTCATGTGTTTGAGAGTTCAAGATAAAATGAAATGAAATAGAATGAAGTATAATAGGAAAAAAGTTATCATCGTTTTGGAAATAGAAAGTGAATAAGGTAAAGAACAATGAACTCTTTTCTTGAACTAGCTAGCAGATGAGACTTGATCGAAACGTTGAGAATGTTAATGGATGGACAACAGCTTCTCTAAATTGGATCATGTAAATATATTTAAAGTGTACTATTTTGAAAATTAAAATAGAGGGATTAGCAAACTAATATTTTTTCCCATTTTCACTCACTTTTTTTTTCTCTTAAACATTTGAAAAGTTTTTTTATGTCTAAATTAAACATCCTTTTTTACAAATTTTTATATTACTAGCTCCACTTAAAACGTAATATTCTAAATCTAATTGGATGGGTCTATCCTTTGCTGTTAATATTTTAAAGGAGAGTAATCTCTCATGTCGAAGAAAATATTGCAGGCCCCTAGTTAAAAAAATAAAATAAAATTTAAAATTCCAATATTTTAAAGGAGATTTTCTTGTCTTCTTTAGAGATTAATCTCTAATGTGGTAGAAAATATTGCAGGCCTCCAGTTGAAAAAAAATTAAAATTCGAATGCATATATTAAAAATTATCATAATTAATCAGCAATAACACGCATGAAATAAATTTATTTCCAGAAAATAAAAGATCGCATGGTTATTCATTCAAAAAAAGTGAGTAATAAATAATGAATCATATTTATACATTAAGTAAATAAAAGTATAAAAATATATACATTTCTCTATTGAATATACATTGTGTATTAGTTATCATCGTTTGTGCCCTTAAACAACCAATGAATCCCTTTTCCTGTCTTCTTTAACGGGTCACCTTTGGGAAGAAAACCAATTTATCACTTTGTTCATGGACATTGGTTCCAGCTTGGCCCAGAAAAAGGGGTGAAAAGAAGAAGAACAATACTCACACCGGGCTGACCCGACCCAACAAGAATGGGGCGACTTGCAGCTCAGGGGTTAGTGGAAATTCTAGAAAGGGGTTTGATGGACTCTTTAGACTGTTGGTGATGGATGGACCTGGACATGGTTATTTGAGGACCTTATTGTCCTCAGCACATGTCCATGTTTTTGGCATTGGCACAGACAGCAGGAAATCTCCAAGACCGCACTCTGTTGGGAATTAAGTCTCTTCTGTCCATTAAGGTTACATCATGATCCCGATTATTGACATTATGGGATGGTAATAAATTAAAAGCAAATGCATTGTTGATAATTTGAAAATATTTGATTTGTGGTACTGATGGCAACCTGTTTAATTAATGTCTCTAGCTGCTAAAGAGATGTCATGATTGGATTAGCAAATTCTTGATGAGAGTTGTTATGGCTCTGGCAGTGGCAGGCTGCCCATATTTGAAATGTGCCTAAATGACTGTTGAAGCAACGTGATATATATGGCCATAGCACAGCTGATAACTTTGCTTCAGGTAAACAGCAATGATAATGCAGAGCTGAATGAGGATAGGATTGTAGAAAGTACAAGGTCCCCAATATATCTAGTTCCTAGGTTTTCTTGCTTGGTTGACGTCGTGTCTGTATGTTAAGCTCCCCGCTTCCCGGTGACCTGGAGCAATATTCCAATTCATCCAGGCAAAATTATTGTCAAAACGACAGGTTAGATCAGGGAAGTCTTTATGCCTAAATCATAAGATATAACCGATACAATATTTGTCTGAGATTATATTTTCATTATTGCTAATTGAAATCAGTGATTCTTCTGAGTCAACAATAATATTGACAATCTGCCTTCATGCTAAAAAAACACCCCTTCAGATGACTCTCTGAATATCTATCTGACTTCATCCTCTGACAAATTCATTTTCTTTCTCAGCAGTCAGACTAAATTAGACTTTTTTGTGGTCATGCCGCAATTATGCATTCAGGGAGTAGAGTTTGTTACATTTTTTTATTCTTCTACTTGTGCAAATAAGAATAAGCAAGGAGTTATATTATTTAATTACGAATTATTATAAACGATGCAACTTGGTATAGATTGCTATATTTGACACAGATGTGGGTTGCTGTTTTAATAGTGAGGAAACAATGGTTGACAGTCGAGGAATGTTGAAGACACAAATTTGGTGGAATTAGTGAAACTAGAAAAGGGATCACATGGTGATTGGTGAAGCCAGTAGGACCATTTTAATGAAGGGGACTGAACCGGTTTGGAGTGTAATGCGAGCTTTTATGAAATTAGGGGGACCATGTCCCAGGGAAAATAAATAAATAAAAAAATAATCCACAAAATCCAAATCTCAGTTCAACACAGTCACACAATCATGAATCATCCCACATGGACTCTGCGTCCTTTCTCGCGCAATCAACGCAACCTAACCTGCTCCTTCAATTCCTTCCATTTTGAATCTCTTCTTTTTCTTCTCATATCATAAACTGAACCCTCTCTTTCAATTCACTTTCAAACTTCTTAGCCGTTATCTCATCCCTCCTCACATCTCTCTGTTTTCCATTTCTTATCTGCTGCTTCATTTATTTATTACCGCATATCCCAGTCATTGTCATTGTCATAGATATCAAATCTCTAGATACATGATTTTTTTCATGATTCATCATACATTAATAGATTTCAGCTGTGGGACTTGTAAATTTACTCCATAAGATAATTGCACCGTACGTAGCACTCCTTTTTTATTTTCGGAACTTGCATTGTGCCCGCCAGGTTTCAAGATATTTTTAGCAACTGATATAACTGCCATCTCAAATGTTTAGAGTTTGGCATTTGATATATGCATTATTTGTTACATATGGGTGTTTGTTTTTAACTTTTACTATCAAGCGTTTATTTATTATAAGGAGAAATGATGCGACTTTTTATTATGTTCATGATTTGGGATTCATTCCCTGCAAAAATCACCCGTCATTTTTTAAATTGTTTTCCAAGTTTTAAAGCACATTCAATTCATCTCTAGATTTTTTTTTTTTCATGAGAATTCAACTAAAGATTTGAAGTTTTAAACAAATAGAGACGAAGCCCATAAAAAGTAGTCATTGGAAACATTTGGAATAACTAATTTTTTCCATAAAAAGTAAAGAATTTGTGGTGTTGTTGCGACATCTAAGAGGAGATTACTGAAAAAACTTTTGAGGCAGAGCCCGTAAAGAAGAATTAGAGCCTGTTTATTTTAGTTTATTTCATAAAAAAATCACCTATTTTTTAAAAATATATATATTTGATAAGTTTTTATGATGCTTATTTAAAGTTTTAAAAATAATCAGAATCCAAAAAAAATTAAATTTTTAATTATTTTGAAAAGTTATTTTATTTTAAATAGCTTCTGAAAATAATTTAATGTAATAAATGAGAAAGTGTTTGAAAAAAGCAAGACATGCAAAGAAATCATAAAATTTTAAAAATAATATAATAATAAATTATTTTCACAAAACAAAAATAAAATAAGAAGTCATAAAATTTAAAAAATAATTAATTAATAATCACTTTTATTACTATAATTAAACATAAAATAATTTTTACTTTTTATAAAATCTTTACAAAATAATTTTTTATAAAATTTTTAAATTACTTAAAAATAATTTATTTTTAAATTTTAAATAAACAAGCCTTTAATTAATATAACTTTTGATGACAATTTGAAAATGAAATTATTAAAAGTTGACTTTTTGTGACACTTTTCTGGATCCTCACCGAAAATCTGACTTTTAAATAATGTCATGGCCGTTGTTACAAATCTCGGAGGCAGATCAGTCTCATATTTATTTAGGCGGAGCCAGACTGCCAGAGAATAAACTGAGATTTCCATTGCCGGAGAAAAAGGAAAGGAAAAAAATTTCAGTGAGAATTTTAAATTCATAATAATAATATGCCGTTAATAAGTTGACAATAAAATTATTTCAATCAACTCATTAATTTATTTCAATCTTTTATATATGTAGTGAAATTTTAAAATTTTAAAAATTTTAATTAAAATTTGGATCTCATTAAAAATTTAAAAAAAAAGAAGAAGCAAAGAAAGAGAGAAATAAAAGAAAAGGACTCTGATAAGTTTCTAATGTCGGAATGTTTAGGGTATAGTGACAGTTTGCACAAATTCTTCAGGAATTTGAAATCAAACATTAGTACCAAAAAGGAATTAGTTGTAGTGAGAGAAGTTAGTTTTTCATAATATAATCAATTAAAATTTAAATCTTTATTAAAAAAAAGTGCTTTTATTTAGTATCCTACTTAACTAATAACAAGTATTGTCTCATCAGGCAGGTCATTTACATGAATCATGCAATATCATCGTGCTAGGATAACGACAACTGTAACACCCTCAAATTTACAAACCGATTTTTCGCAAATTATTAATTCAAGAAATCATTTTTTTTTTCATTGAACCCTTATCATACCCTTATCATGGTAGAAAAATTTCTACCATGATACATCCAAGACAATATACCACAGGTCTTAAAATATCTCAAAAAGCAATTAGAACCATGAGGGACAGACATGATACTCATAGCATGTTATTTAAATTAGGTCATGAATCAAAAGGGACAGACATAATCCTCTTGGACATATAATTGCATTTAATAAAAAGGATTAGAGTTTACATTGCATAATACAAAATGAGAGGCAACGTAAAAGATGGTGTCTCATACACCAAAGTTACGCCTCTGGTGCTTTCTCGGTCGAACTCGCTCCTGTAAAAATATTAACCACGGGGAATGAGACTTAAAAGTCTCAGTAACCAAAAATTAATATGTAATGATGCATGCGGATGTAACTAATCATGCGATTGCTAAGTGGGCACACAAAACATTTAACCGAACAATATTTTCAAACAAACCGAACAAGTATTTAATTGCATGACTGCACCTTATATCCTCCTTTCACCATGCTCGGACGCCAAATCACCCGGCCAAAGGTGAGTTGGACCAAGCGACACGCCACTCATTGGGTCCAATGAGGGCTTACCACGTGGTAATAATTAACCGAACAGAAATTCCCATTAACACCATACATTAAAATACCCTGACAAGTCATGCATCATTCAAATATCCAAACAGGAATATATCCGAACAATAATATCTCATCATGATAAACAAAAATAAATTTTTAACCCACTTGGCAATAATTTCAAACAAGTATATACAGTATTTATTTTCAATAATTCATAATTTTTTCAAACAACAAAACAACACATAACCATTCACAAACACACTCATCACAACACATTAATAATGGTTACCTTGTGTCTTGAATAACAAGTTCCCCTTCACAACTCCTTTTTCACCACTATCTTTGTCAATATAATCTACATAATTATTTCACAATACTATATATTAATTTTACATTAAAATAAATAACTCTAATTTAAAGAGTTAGAAAGTCTTAAATCTATAGTCTATATTAACACTAATTTAAGATTTATGCCTTATTTAACTTCCCAAATTCTTTTCTAAAATTCTCGTACCCTAATGAACTATTTTTTTTTATCCTCAATTCACTTCTAGTATCACAATTTCATCCTTCTACATTCTAAAAATTCATCCAAAAATAAATTAAAAATTTTAGAATTATCCTGAAGCCTCAAATCACCTTTCTATAACCTCAAAAATACCTATTCATACTTAAATAAATATTTAATAATCATAGATTTATCCCTACATCTCAGATTCCACATAAATTCAACCATATAGATCTAGATTTTAACTCAAAAATTCTTAAACATGAGTTTCAACCTTAAAAAAAATATTCTATAATATTTACTATATCCCTAAGAATTTTAACCTATATTTTTAATCCATCATATCATCAGATTAACTATCCTATAGAAAAATCCTAATCAAAATATTTACTCTATCCTACAAAATAATCATATCACTAGAAAGCTAATATTATTTAGAAAATAACTATAAAATTAATTTTGTAATTAAATAAATTTTTAAATGCTAATCTAAACAGGAAAGTTAGAACATACCTGAAGAAAAAAGAAAATAATCCCCCCTTGCGAGAAAACGCCGAGCAACGTGAGAGGAAGAGAGAAAAATAATATAAAAATGGGATTGTGAGTCCCAAAAAAAAAAACTATAGGTTTGAATTTAATTATTCAAACCTTTGGGCCCAAAGTTGCAATTTTCTCTAAATTGCATCTTAGCCTCTCATGCTTCCTAATGCACACACCCCCTCCTTTTTATACATGAAGGCACCTCTTCTCTTCCCTCATCTAACCAATGTGGGACTTAGAAACAACAACCTTCCACCTCCCCTTTTTTTTTGTTCCTTCTACCTTCTCTTTTTTTTTTTAACACACACATAAAAAAAAATTATTTATGTATTATATCTTAACTAAATATTGCTTATGTGGTTTTAAATTTAAATTTTTAAATTCATAATTAAATACCTAATCATAATATTATTTCTAAATAACCTCAAATAATATAAATTCCTATTATTATCATTTTTTTCCTCAAAACCTAAATTCCACAATTTCTTTATTATATAAAAATCAGGATGTTACAACAACAACTTAGATATACTCTCCCTAATCATCATTATAAGATACCTTATAAAAGAATCATTTTTTATTATAAACTACTTGATATGATATTAATTAAATTTTTTCAATATGTTTTTACTTAAAAGAGAAAAAGTTATGCAAATTTAAAAATTTTCAATTTAAATATGGGTAGAATTATAAATTTTTTTAATTTTAAGACAATTAATAATTTAATCACTTCTCTTTAATTCCAATAAGGTGATTATACAGGTGCTTTATAATAAAAATTGGATGGAATACCATTTTAAACATATTCATAACTATTGAAGGGAAAAATTATAAATTATAATCATTCACAGAAAAATAAAGTCATATTCTATTCCTCTAGTCATATTTATATGAGAGAGAGAAAGAGAGAGAGATAGAGAGTATTTATTTTAATTTCATTTATAAAGCACCTTAGTGATTATTGTGTCCATTTTTACCCTTTTGCCTTTAATAAAAGTTTGGAAGGTTATTAAATACTAGAAAACTTTATTTTTAAATTATGTATATACCCTCTGTTCAAAAATGAAAAACATTTTTTGAGAAGTTAGATACTAAAAAATGTAAGGTATTTTTAATCTTTTGAGATGTAATCATTGTCTTTTTTTTCAAAAATGTCTCCGTTGATAATAATTTTATGTTAATTGTAGGATATTTAATAAGGGTAAATATAAAAAGATAAAGTTAGTTTGAAAGTAGATAACTACTTTATTGAGAGGTGAAATTTAATTAAAAATGTCTTATATTTTTTAACAGGGGAAGTATTTAAATGTTTAAAATTAAAAACCTATTAAATTTTTAGACAGTATCAATAAAATTTAAAAATTTTTTTAATTTCAATAAAAATACTGAAAGTAGCTTATAAAAAGTACGTAAATAGAGCTGAAGTAAGAAGAACTTCAATCAAATTAAATTTAAAGGGGGGGGTCAAATCTTAGGCAGGGAGTGACAAGTAATTAATTGTGGGTGTTATACTTATTATCAAATTAAAGAAAGCAAGAAATGAGAGGAGCAAGTGCAAAATGTTGAGTACAGAAGGTGGTTGGGTAGGGTTGCTGTGTCCTTCACCAATTCATGAATTAATTAAGAAGGAAATCCGATCATTAATTAGGATTCGTGATTTGTGGCTGGAATAAGACAAATAGGGATTTGTGATTAAGCACTGATCATTATTTGCATTCCCAGTTTCTGATGCCTGCCCCACACACGTCCCACCTACTCCCACTCATCCCTCAAGATACTACACTCCCCACAATTTCATTAATAAAGAAGAAACGTTTGAATAAGTGAAGAGATCAATTACTACATTAACAGATCACATTCGGATATAAGGTGAAATTTTTTTTTGTGGGGGAGGGGGGAAGAAAGAAAGAAAGAAAAGCTAGGTGATAAGAGAGTTGAGATTTCAAAATGACATTGAGGACTTGAGGTTGCTTGCCCAACCTCAAAAGGTATGCCCGCCCGACAGGAGGCTTAGTTAATATCCCAAAAGATGGATTAAACGTTAATTAATACATAAAGATCAAAACACAACAAAATTGTACCCCTCACGAAAGCCATGCTCAATTATTTCCCCTTATCTTTCTTCTCATTCTCACTCAAACTTTGTTTATATATATATATATATATATATGAGATTCATCAATTCACTTTACTCATGCTAAATTTAAATGAACTACAAGATTGTTGTAACTCTTAACATGATGAAGACGCTAATGAGTCACCTTGATATTCTTGAAACTAAACTAACATCATTAAAATATATATATTTATATACATAGAAATAATGTTAACAATGATACATTTATATAACAACTACACAAAATATTATCTTCACCTTTGATTTTCTGTGCGCTCTAAAGAGCATGACATAAAAGTCAATGCAAGAGGGGGAGAGATTTTATTTTTTCCTTTTATTAAGTGGTTTTAAAAATATAATAATAAGAAAGAAGACATATTTGGGCAGGGTAGCAAGCTGGCTGAGCATGCTTGAATCACAAAGAAGGAAAAGTCAACAGTAGATTGTAGCTTTAGAATAAAAGAAATGTTGAGAGAGAGAGAGAGTTACTGCATGTCACTCAAAAGCAATGCAACAATAATCTACACATTTCCTCCCTTTTCTTTCTAAACCTCACCACCAGTTGTCACGGCCGGCCGGCCAGCCAGATTCTGCACAAAACTTCTTTTCTCAGAAAAATTCAATTACAATAATGATAATGCTTTAGTGAAAAGGAAACATAATTGTACAAATAATAGAACTCCAACAGAACAAATGAAATAACCACATTTTATGCATCCCCAACAAAAGAAAAATCAAATTGGTAAAAAGCGGGAGGTGAAAATGACGTTAAAGTGAAGGTTGAGTCGGGTGAAAAAAAAAAAAAAGAACTTGTGGTTCACCCAAGAGATATCTCAATTCATATAAAAAAATAAAGTAATATATGCGTACTTGAAGAATCCATAAGTGCTAGAAAAATCTCGATTACCTCGAGTATAGGCAGGTACACAACCCACAAGTCCCCAGAGCCTTCAGAGAATTCAGAGATAATGGAAGTAGAAGAAAATGAATCGTGTGTTTGCGGTTACCGACTAATCATTTTATATAGATCAGATCAGTAACCGCCTTATTAAATAATTAAATAATTATATTATCTATTATCTCTGACTCAATTAGTTAAAAGATAGGAAATAATTAGCGGCTACTGGGTTGTGGGTTGGGCCTCTGCCCATTGGGTTCACTTGTGTGATCCACCTATCACGGTCCACATAAGATCATAAAAATCAATCTATTGAACTTGTTAATTAATATTAATTTATAAATAATATTCCAATAAGAGATGGATGCGATTGATTGAAGCATACGAGTAAAAAGCGTTCAACTTGTGGGAGGCAGACAAGTACTGCTTGGCTGGGCAAGAAGCTTGTGGAGGAGCAGAGTGATGAGGGAAATTTGAATCTAGTGCGCTCCAACGTTCGAGTACTCTCAGGGATCCTCGTGATTCATCAAACGGCCACGAATTTCCATGTGAACTTCTTCACACACTCGCTCTCAGCTGCCTTCTATCAAAATTCTCCTTCCTTTCTCCCGCAAGCTTTTCTCTCATGCCACTATAAATTCCTTATTCCTGCATGCACTTCTCCAACAAAATCATCATTCTCACTCGCTTCTCATCATCATACCTTCCTGTCTACGTGAAAGTATAGAATAAACACATGTCGGGACTGGTACTTTTTCCTACTGTTATCTCACTGTATTGATTTTTTTTTTATATTTTTCTTTTTTTTCCCTCATAATTTCTCACTCGGGGCTTCTCTTGTCAGATCCCGACTTCACTGGAAAACTAGATTCCGCCCATATTTTTCCGCTTTTAACTTCGATCTGATCGAGACCCACCTTCCAAAATGCAATTATGGAATTGGGTTTTCGACCTTCTGCTGGTATGTTCAGTGTTCCTCTGTCATCTATCAGAGAATGTTGCCCAGACAACATCGGAATCTCCAATCTGCTCTGAAGAAGACAGGGCTTCTCTTCTTGGCTTCAAAGCCGGCATCTCGCAGGACACGACAAATAGCCTTTCTTCATGGACGGGCAGGGATTGCTGCGATGGTGGCTGGGAAGGAGTTGAGTGCAATCCATCCACGGGTCGAGTCACCACATTGCAATTGCAGAGACCTGATAGTGATAGGGACAGTGGCCTTTACATGAAGGGCACTCTCTCTCCTTCACTGGGCAATCTGCGTTTCTTGGAGGTACTGATAATAAGTGGGATGAAGCACATCACAGGCCCAATTCCTGAGAGCTTCTCAAATTTAACTCGCCTCACTCAACTGGCTTTGGAGGATAATTCCCTTGGAGGGACCATCCCTCCAAGTTTAGGTCGCTTACCCTTGCTTCAGACTTTTTCACTCAGTGGGAACCATCTGAAAGGGCAGATTCCTCCGACATTAGGGAATTTCAGAAGCCTGGTCCAACTCAATTTGGCAAGAAATTTTCTGTCAGGTCCTATCCCCTTGTCTCTCAAAACTCTTCAGAATCTGCAGTACCTTGATGTTAGCTGTAATTTATTATCCGGGGCTATCCCAGATTTTGTGGGGCAGTTACGAAATTTGACCTTCATTGATCTTTCTGATAACCAGTTTATAGGGAGAATTCCTCTTTCCTTGTTTAACCTGGCCAATCTTTTAGACTTGTCCTTGAGCCATAACAGGCTCACCGGGGTCATCCCAGATCAGATTGGAACCTTGAAGTCCTTGACCAGTCTTAAGTTAAGTGGCAATCAGCTCACTGGTCATCTTCCACTGTCCATATCAAGATTACAGAACCTTTGGTACCTTAATTTATCTAGAAACGCATTCTCTGATCCCTTACCAGCTATCCCTAGCAAGGGTATCCCTTCTCTTTTATCAATAGACTTGTCCTACAACAATCTCAGCTTGGGAAGTGTTCCCGATTGGATCAGAACGAAGCCACTGAAGGATGTCAGTTTAGCTGGGTGTAAATTGAAGGGAAATCTCCCTATCTTCGTAAGACCTGACTCTTTGAGCACCATAGACCTCTCAGATAACTACTTGGTTAGTGGCATTTCAGGTTTCTTCACAAACATGTCCAGCCTGCAAAAGGTCAAGCTCTCAAACAACCAGTTAAAAGTTGACCTTTCTGAAATCAAATTGCCCACAGGGGTATCTTCCATTGATTTGCATGCAAATCTGCTAGTGGGTTCATTATCATCAGTCATAAACAGCAGGACAAGCAGCTCTTTGGAGGTTTTAGATGTATCAGGAAATTCGATTTCAGGAAAAATTCCAGAATTCATTGCGGGCTCAACATTGAAGGTCTTAAATATAAGAGGCAACAATATATCAGGTCAAATCCCTGTTTCAATCTCAAATTTGATTGAACTGGAGAGATTTGACATATCAAGGAACCACATATTGGGAACCATTCCTCCAAGTTTAGGATTGTTGCTGAAGCTGCAATGGCTTGACCTGTCTGTAAATGGACTCACAGGAAAAATCCCTAGCACTCTGTCACAGCTTGTTGGTTTAAGGCATGCAAGCTTCAGGGCAAACAGACTTTGTGGAGAAATACCACAGAGTAGACCATTCAACATCTTTCCTCCAGTTGCTTATGCTCACAATCTTTGTTTATGTGGCAAACCCTTGCCACCATGCAAGGGAAACAGAGATGAGAAGATGGGTCAGTGAGGTGCTGACTTAATCAGCCTAGTTCAAATGTTCATGCTTTGTGACCATTGCCATATCAGCATTAGGCTCCACATTGAGTCAAGAACTACCTATCTAGTCATATTTTTCTCCATTCTGAGATTACCAAATTGGTAGTGTTCCATTTTATAGTATTATATTATTTTAATAAAACTCCCCACACTGTTGTATCTTTTTACTTTCTTAATCAAATTAAGATGTCACGTGTTATAGTTAAATGTTATTATTTTATTAAAAATTTGCCACATCATGTAGCACGAGTCTAGCTTTGTGATAATAAAGCAAAAATATAAATTTCAATTGTACAAGCTAACGCAATAATATGTACTTCGCCAAGGCCCCATTGCATCTTACTCTTATCCAGATGATCATGACTTGAGTAATGATTAATGAAGTTCAAGACAACAGATAAAACCATGCCGCAAAAGCCCGATATCTCATTAACGAAAGCACGTTCCACAAAGAAAGCGTGCCGTGAAAACAATAGCGCGCCCCGCAGAAACATCAAAATTCTAAACACATTTATTATGAAATCTTTAGGTCTCAGATGGCTTGGCTTTGGCATCTGTTACACTCTATTCAGATTAATCGGAACCCCATATCCACTATGACCATAAAAACAAAGTGGCGATTTATTTTTAAAAAAAAAAATCTTAGATCCGAGATAAGAAATATCGCTCTAGCACCCAATACAACGCACCCAACTATCAGTAGCTTCGACGCAAATTCTATCAAAGGTTTTACGGCAGAAGGCAAAATCAAATCACAACACCCTTTGAGCCTGCGGAAAACCAGGAATCATGCTATAATTAATTACCCTCTTAAAAAAAATCAGTGGAGAACATCGCCAAATCATTTTGCAATTGAAGCCTGCAAAATACTAATTCTACCATCTAAAAAAAAAAATCAATTTACAGCCCTAGAGCAAGCATTCAGGTAATCTTTCTCGTATACACAGTTAATCATGTTCCACTACTCCTCATCAGTGAGCTCTTCATTTTCCTTTGCTGCGTCATCCTTCCCAGACTCCTCTTGACCCCCTTCCTCAGCCGCATCTTCCCTATCAGATCCCTCTTGTTCCTGAGGAAAAAGTACATATTTTCAGACAGAAGAATAAACAATCAAACCAATAATATAATATAAACTCAAACAACGAAACCATACAGCTCCGTCTTCTGCAGCATTATAACTTTCCAAAGCTTTCTCATATTCGGCCTTGAGCTCAGCAGCTCTATCCATGTAAGGCTTCTTCTCCTGCTCCAATTATGGCCAACACATGAGGTTTGATCAACATCAAATTGTCAAATTTTTTTTTTGGGGGGGAGGGGGCTATACAAATGGAATTATCTATCACTTGCCTCATCAGATAAGGACTTCCACTTCTCACCTGCCTCCTTACCAACCTAGATTATCATTCGAATGGTAAGCTAGTTAGCATGAATTGGTATAATTAACCAGAAAATCGTTATCCATTTATCAAGTTTCATTACCCTCTTGACATCATTGGAATCAGGATTTGCTTCCTTGAAAGATTTTCTGAACTCTTCCCTGCAACAAAAGTTTCAAACTAAATAAAATAATCAAAGATAAGAGCAACGTTGTTCATAACACAAAAATAGGAATGTGAGAGCTGACAGGAAGACAAAGAAGGCTGTAGGAGGACGCTTGGGTTTGTTTGGATCCTTGCCCTTCTTTCCCTTCTCCACCTTGGCCTTTTTTGCCTTAGGCTCACTTGATTTAGGCTTCTTCCTAAACAATTCCCAATCAAAACAAATAGTGAGTGAACAGGACCATATTAACTGGTTATGGAAAAACTGAAGACAACCAAGGAATGCAATTAACCTCTCCACTGGCTTCTTGACCTCAGCAGGCTTTTCCACAACCTGAGCCTCTGAATAAGCAAGATTCAGAACAATGATTAGACATTAAATAATAGGATAAAATATCCACCAAAATGTTGTCTTATAAGAAGACGAGAATAAAGTGATATAATACCCAGATTCATTTTAATTTTAGCCTCAAGGCTGCAACTATGCATGCTAATGAGGGCCACTGGGACATTCTTGTTGCACTCTTCGCTGCAGAGAATAGAAAGAAGATATTTAAACGGCCAGAAGCAGATGCTCAGGGAGGGAGGGGGGAGAAAAAGCCGGATAGGAAGCTAAATGATCGCGCACAATAATCAAGATCGGAAGTACAAGCAGAGTCATCAAAAAAGAATTAAATCAATTTGCCGGGTCACCTTAAATACTGTCGCTAATTTTGATTTCCACGGAATATGATGTAAACACAACCCACAATCGCATCAAGTTCCATGACCATATGGATCAAGCAGGATTACAAGCTACATGATTTCCCCCAAAAACATCAAAGAACAGCAACCACAGAATTTAAAATCCCCGAGTTCATGTTCGATAATCCCCAGTAAAATTAACCGCTTAAGTAACATAGTTCGAAATGAACGAGAGTAGAGAGAAACGCTTAAAACAAAAGTCCAACAAAGAAACATCTGAACAGGGAAGAAACACACATCGAAACGTCATGCAATCGAACAAAACCAAGAGACAGGTTAAGAATGTTGGAAGTAAGAAGCGAGAAACGAACCATTTGGCAAAAGCACTGCCATCTTTGGCGCGGACAAGACCAGTGGCAGCCCTAGAATCGACAGCATCGACTCTCTTTCTGGCCTGTGAAGGGTTCGACCTAGTTGATTTTCCCCCCGCCATTTCGACAGTTTCGCGCCTTCTTCAAAATGCGATTCTACAAGGAGAGCGAATGTTGAGGGCGAAACGGACGGGTATATATCAGACGCAAGACTTGAAGCGGCGAAGTGGGAAAATGGGAATTGTGACATTTCGGTTTTAGCGCCAAAGGAGCTTATATTCGTTTTTCAGCCCCGCGCCCTGCCACTCCCTTTTCACACGGATCTATGACCTGGCACTCTCATCGACCGTCCATTTCTGCCTTGTGTTTTAATGGACAGTGCAGATTTGATGGCCATTTCGCTCTTCTTTTTCTTTTTTTTATTTGTCAACATAGTTTTGGGCCCTGGTATTCCTAATAGGCTCCTAGGCTCTACCTGTACCTAACAAATTTGATTCTGGATGGCCCGTATCCAAAACCAAGATGTCATCAAAGAGCCTTTCCAAGACCAGAACCAGGGGCCAAAAAAAAAAATGTGTTTCAGATTAGCATGGCCCTTGCGCAAGGATGACACACACAAATCAATAAATAAAAATAAAAATTGAAGCTCAAACTCCATTATTTTGGGAAGGGGGTTGCAAATAAATCTCTATATATATATATCCCCGTTCTGAATTTATAGTTTTACACATATCGCGCTATTCATTTGTTTGGCAGAACCTGTCATGCCATTTATTATAGAAGGAATATGGAGGAAATGCGATCACTTTCACAATGCATGAGGTGAGAAGCAGATATAATAATCATTTATAGTACAAAAACGGTTACAGCAGCCTACCACATCACGAGAGAGATAGAATGCAATATGATAAGCTCAAAACAATAAAAAATAAACCAAAGAAAATATATCAAAAAATATGTACAACTATAATTTATTGGGCCTATGTGATTTTCTCTCAAACAGTGTGAGTTGCTCCTTGTATTTAAGTTTAGAACCATTCTTCTTAACCTTGATAGACTTCATTTGACCTGTATTAATATTAGGCTTGATTTTATCTTTATTATTCCCTAGCAAACGAGAGGCTACTAGTAACAACCTAAGTTTGTCTTTGAAGTAGAGAAATCTAGTGGATGTCAACATTTTTGTAAGTAAATCTACAATTTGATCGCTTGTTGGAACATTTTTAATAGACACTTTATTTGCAAGCATCAAGTCTCGAATGAAATGTGTATCAATATGTTTAGTTCAAGCATAAAATGTTGGATTATAGGCCAAAGTAGCTGCATTAACATTGTCACACTAGATGGTTGAAGTTTGATTGTGTTTCAAGCCTAGCTCATCAAACAAGGAATGAAGTTACAATAATTCTATAGAAGTATGAACTAATGATCTATATTTTGATATAGTACTTGATCTAACTACAGCTATCTATTTACTCAAAGGACATGAAATTAAAGAATTACCAAAATAAACGAGATATCCTCCAAGTGATTTTCGATCATCCAGGCAGGTAGCTCAATCAGCATCAGAGTAAGCAACAAAGTCCAGAAAATTTGAGCTTTTTATATGAAGACTCAAAGTAGTTGTCTATTGTAAATATCGCAGCAATCTTTTAGGTGCTTGCCATTGTAAAACGGTTAGCCTTAATAAGAATTGACTTAATTTACTCACAACAAATGCAATGTCTAGCCTTATATTAGCCAGATATTGAAGAGAACCCACTATTCATCTATATGAAACACTATCATCATCAGACAAGACATTGCTATCTATAAGAGACAAAGTATAACCAGTTTACATGAGAGTTTTACATGCTGAAGAGGAAGTCACATTCCATTATTGTAACAAATCATTTATGTATTTTCCTTGGTTGAGACAAAAACCATTAGCATCTCTTGTAATTTCGACAACAAGGAAATAATGAATTAGACTAAGATTCTTTAGAGCAAAAATTTCATTTAACTTCATAGTAAACTTATACATGCTCTTTTGATTACTTTCAATAAAAAGTATATCATCAACATATGCAAGAATAATCAAATTTGGTCATGATTCTAAAAAAAAAAAAGTAGGGATGTATCACTCTTACTATTCTAAAACTCCTAAGAAACAAGTGTTGATTGCAAGCGCTCAAAACCAAGCTTGTAGAGCTTGTTTTAAAACCACATAATGCTTTCATAGTCAAAAAAACATAAAAAGGTTTAGACAAATCAACAAAACCTTCTGGTTGAGACATATAAACTATTTCTATGAGAAAACCATTAAGGAAGGCATTGTTGATGCCTAATTGCTTCACATCCTAATTTTTAGAAGCTGCCAAGGCTAAAATAACTCGGATGACATAGCTAAAAGTTTCCTCGCAATCAATTCCTAGAGATTAAAGATATCCTTTTGCTACAAGTCAGCCTTTATAGTGAGCCATAGTATTAGCTGGATTTAACTTGATCTTAAAGATCTAGTGACACCCAACAACATCATACACAAGACAAATAGGAACTAGATCCCACATATGATTCTTGATAAGAGCGTTATATTTTGCCAACATCGCACTTTTCCAATGATCAAGTTTGAGTGGTTGAGAAACAAATGTAGATTCCACCCAATAACACATTAGATCTACTTGAACATAACCAATATAAGGTCTTTTTAGTTTCACAATAACATGTTTAGACCTAGTAATCATAGGATGAGCATTTATTGGCCCAGCAATAGGAAAAGACTCAATTGTGATGCTCTGTTTTATTGTATGTGAATCATTTAGAGCAAACAAGCATTCGTCAAATGGCCTTGAATCACTGTGGACAAAAAGGCTTAAAGAAGTTAAGCTTTGAACCAGTAAATATATGACATTGTGTTCAAGCCCATGCTGTGTGGAAGGTAACGACATCGTTTTATTAAACAACTCACAATGTTGACCATGCGTCTCTTCCATTTCATTTTCTGAATGTGCATGCTCTATTTCTTCATTATCAGAGCAAAGTATAATAGAGGGTATCAATGATTGCATTTCTGATTGTGAATTCTAGCCAGCATCTGTCTTGGCTTGTTGAGGGCATCTTGTGAAGGGAAAATCATTCTCATTGAATACAACATGCCGTGAAATAAAAACATGACTAGAGGGATTAAGGCAGTTGTATCCTTTATAGGTTAGACTGAGATCTAGATAAGTACATCTCTCACTTTGGAACTTAAGCTTGTACTTGTTATAGGACCTCAAACATGAGAAATAAGCACAGGTAAAAATTTTAAAACCCCCATAAATTGGCTTGGTTTCAAACAAAACCTCAAATAGTGATTGATTATCAACACAGGTGTTGGTAACCGATTGATTGTGAAAATTGAATTCATAAAGGCCTCCCACCAATAATACAATGGCATAAAAGCTTGGCCAAACATTACTAAACCAACCAATACTATATGTCTATGTTTATGTTCTTCTTAACCATTTCGTTTTGAAGTGTGTGGGCAAGCATGCCGAAATTGAATTCCAAGACATATCAAGACAAATGAAAAACTTTTAAACTCACCACCCAGTCACTTTGTACAGCTTTAATCTTCTTATCAAATTAATTTTCAACAAGTTTCTTAAATTAGATAAATGCTAGAAAAGCTTCTGCATTGAAGAGGATAAAGCCAAGTAAATTGATTGTAGTCATCCATAAAATTAATGTAATATTTGAAACTAGATTTAGAATTAATGGGAGCCAGTCCCCACCAATCAATAAAAATAAGATCCAGTGGTGTTTTGGAATGTGATTTAAATAACAGAAGTAGTTGTTTATACATCTCTCCATATTGGCATGCATCATAAAAATCAACATTATCATTATTATCTAATTGAATATTACAACTCTTCAATACATTTTTGACAATATTAAAAGAAGCATGACATAATCGTCTATGCCATGTGTTTAATGCAGTTAGAAGAGCTACAGATTTAGTATTATTTGACTGAAAAAGTTGATAGATCTAAGGGTGCCATCTGTAATGTCCCAAAAAATTTACCTTTAATTAACTAAGCTTAATTAGGATGATTAAGTAAATTAATGTGGTGTGTAGCCAGAGAGTTTTAATAAATGTGCTTGATTGTGATTTCAACCATAAATATGAGTTCGAAATAAAGTAGGGCTACCTAAGTATTAAAAAGTAAGAAAAGTTGAAGAAGGAATCGTTGTGCCCATGCCACAATGTATAGCATGTCCACCACGATGCATAAAGGTAGCGGATAGTGCATGCACCATAGCATATGGTTAGTTTTTCTAATAAATGACTCAACAAACGGTTCAAAAATCATAAGATAATAAGAAGGAGAGAATGAGGGCACACTATTTGCTATGCTAAGCCATGATTTTGGGGACTATTAGAGATAACTTGGAGCTTTCTGATATTAAATATAAGTCCTATATGCCATCTACTTCCTTTTTCTTCTATTTCTTGAAGGTTTGAGTTAGGGTTTAAATGAAAAAAGTGATTTTTAATCTATAAGAGTTATGAGTCTTAACATTAACATACTGGCTAAAATAGTATTAACTGGAGTTGTTTACGTTATTTAAATATAGTATAAATGGTTTTGAGTTGTTAGTTGGTGAGAGCCATTAATGGATAAATTTTACATTTATGAGAGTTGTTGGGAGTGTTCAATGGCTATTAAAGGTGGTTTAACAGTTCATTAATGACAATGTGAGTTAAAAAAACTTAGCAGACCCAATGGACATGATTAGGAGTGAATTTGTGATTTTGGTAAAAGAAGATTGTTGAGTTGAAGGATATAAATTATTTGAATAAGGATATTAATGATTATTCTTGTGATTGGATTGTAGATTAACCAACTTAGCACCATTCAAGCTTGAGGACAAGCTTTGAAAGTTTGTATTTTAAGGGATAAACTTTTGACCTTTCATAAGTTTGAGGTAACTGAGGAAAGATTTAATATGTATAATTGTTTGTTAATTAATTAAGTGTTGAATTAAATTGTTTGAAAACTCATTATTATTGTAAGCTTATGTTTGATGCAAAGCTTAGCAAGTTGTTATGATATGTATGGTTATATGTTGACAAAATGACAAATGTGATTTATGTATCTTGCATGTGTTAATCATGCCATTCAATAGAAACATGCTTGTGATGTATAATGAACAAGGCCACAGTTAAAGTTATACAATTACAAACAAATCATGCATAATGAATTTGA